ACCCATATCTTAATTACTAATACATTTTTTTATTCTCGTGAATATGTTTACTGTGGCCCACTAAAGAATCTTCATACCATACTGGGCACGAGATTTTGAACTCATATAGGGATATACGTATAACTACCAAAATAATATGGCTCAGAAACCCTGAGCTAACCAATATACTTATACATACATACTTAAAACTGAGCGTGATTATCTGAGTACATACTCATCTTTCAACATTCTGACACTACGAAGAATCTCAATAATAGGTTTTTGGTTCTTTAGGCCCACAGCATACCGTAAATGGTTATCTCTTGCGTTTGGAGAAATGCGTTCAAACAGTTACGTATGCACTATGAAGGATAAACATTAATGAATGTATGACTAACTTTATATTTAATCGATGAAACGGGCGTTCAATAGCTGTATATTTATCTTACATAAACATAGGTGATATGTAATAGTGTGTGAACTGTTTAGCATCTCTACATTTGCGAGTACTATGTACGTGCATGTCGCACAGGTAAAAAAGCTACGAACAAATACAGAGCTAATTGGCGTCCCACAGGATACAACGAGAAATGCAAGACATAGTCAATTACTTCTATACACCATAACAGCATTAGCGTTTCTTTTCTCCACAGGATAATTATTTATTTCGTTTAGAATCAATGCATCTTCCAGCTTTATAATTGCAGAGGCTGACCTGTAGGTGCAGTGGGTTAAGGACAACGCTCAACAACGCATGCCTGATAAAAAAACAACAACATACGAGCCGTTATGTATCCTTCAACAGATATGGGTTACTAATATCTAAAGCACGCTCATTATCTTATATGATATACAAAAAAAAAGACCAACAAACTTTTTTAAATTCATATGATTTTAATAAAACACGGTGCAATATTGTTTTATCCTTTATTTCTGAAGGGAAAAAGAAAACATTCGTACGATAGTAACCACTATTTCTGATTATCGCTCCGGGTTTAACCCAGTTGTTAGCGTGCCGAGCTGTGTATCGTAAGGTCCAAGGTTCGCTCCACGATACCGCCAAACACGCTCCTCACTTTAAGCTGTGGGTGCAGTGTAAGACTAGAGGGAAGGCAGCTAGTCATCACAGCCCACCGCCAACTCTTGGGCTACTCTTTTACCTACTCTTTGACCGTCACATTATAACGTCCCCACGGCTGAAAGGGCGAGCATGTTTGGTGGGACGGGGATTCGAACCCGCGACCCTCAGATTTAAATAAATGCATTCATTATTTGGTAATCACCAGATTTTGTACTATTTTGGACTACATTAAAATGTGTACATCATTTTTGGAACACCCTATATAAGCCTATAAAATCAGTTTGTATGTGTCCTGTCACCCCAAAGACAAATGATGCACTCAGTTTTTCCCAATCATGCCAAAGTAACCCAGTGGCCTTGCAGTAAACAAGTATTGCCCTCTTTGGTCCTTAAATAGAAGAAGTAAGTTCTTATTTTAAACACCTCTTTAGTAATCAAGATGAAAATTAGCTGCAGTAGCTAATATTACTGTTATAATACCCTTTTAGAATACCATAGTACATCATTTCACCTGTTTACTGTTATAATACCCTTTTAGAATACGATAGTGCATCATTTCACCTGTTTACAGTTATAATACCCCTTTAGAATACGATAGTTCATCATATCACCTGTTTACAGTTATAATACCCTTTTAGAATACGATAGTGCATCATATCACCTGTTTACAGTTATAATACCCTTTTAGAATACGATAGTGCATCATTTCACCTGTTTAGTTATAATACCCTTTTAGAATACCATAGTACATCATTTCACCTGCTTAGTTATAATGCCCTTTTAGAATACCATAGTACATCATGTAACCTGTTTAGTATTATAATACCCTTTCAGAATACGATAGTGCATCATTTCACCTGTTTAGTGTTATAATACCCTTTTAGAATACCATACTACATCATTTCACCTGTTTACAGTTATAATACCCTTTTAGAATACCATAGTGCATCATTTCACCTGTTTACAGTTATAATACCCTTTTAGAATACCATAGTACATCATTTCACCTGTTTACTGTTATAATACCCTTTTAGAATACAATAGTACATCATGTCACCTGTTTACTGTTATAATACCCTTTTAGAATACCATAGTGCATCATTTCACCTGTTTACAGTTATGATACCCTTTTAGAATACCATAGTACATCATTTCACCTGTTTACAGTTGAAAGCCAGACAACTTTTTTTTTCAAATAATAAACATCTCTGCTATTTCACTTTACGCTCCGAGTTTGGTATTGTCTTTCTTTCCTTCTCCACCTCCAAAATGTTCATGTCAGTTGGAATTCCTCTTTAAACTAGCCATCAGCTTTTTGTAATTTCAAATCTTACTCTCTTTGACTCTTCGTTCGTAAGCTACATCTTGAGTCCGCCAGACTTTTCTTAAATGCTCTCGTGATTCAAGTTCGACATCTAGTATTGTCGTGTCTCAAATTCGACATATAACACTGTCGTGGCTCAAATTCGACATATAACACTGTCGACACTTTTCGACATCTAGTATTGTCGTGGCTCAAATTCGACATATAACACTGTCGTGGCTCAAATTCGACATATAACACTGTCGTGGCTCAAATTCGACATCTAGTATTGTCGTGGCTCAAATTCGACATATAACACTGTCGTGGTTCAAATTCGACATGTAGTATTGTCGTGGTTCAAATTCGACATGTAGTATTGTCGTGGTTCAAGTCGGACATCTAGTACTGTCGTGGTTCACATTCGAGATTTGGTATTCTCCTGATTACAGTTCCAGACCTAACACCGTCTTGGTAAAAAATTTCGAAACACATACAAAATGATAGAGAAGAGGCTCTCAATTAGTGGTCCTTGGGGTCCCATCAGTTGGTTCCTAACTAGGTTGCATAAAAGAAGCGACATAAAAGAGTGCAGATCTTACTGGGGTACGACGACATAAAGAAAAGAAATAGGATGGTCCGCGAATAAAAACGTTTAAGAACCAGTATATTAGATTATAATTGCTCTAACTTAGGAGCACAAAAGAATCATGGGAAAACTTTTACTTAAGTACTTCGTTTAGTTTAAGTACAAATTGTCAAAAACCTTCAATAAGCATACCTGATAAAGTTATTATTTTCCATGTTTTCATAAGGATATCTACCATTTGGTCATTTTTACCCTTAAAATGTCATTCATGAGTTTTTGAGCTGGTAGCTGCTTCTAAAATTACACATAATTATGTGCACTAAACAGGTTAAAAAAGAATAAGAACTGACCCGAAAGTATTTTAAAAAGTATATGCGAGTGTGCAGCAAGAACTGCGGTCTCTGTAATCTAGTTTGTTTCCAATCCACGCATGAGTGAAGATAAAGACTGGAAAAAGTTATTTTCGAATTTTATACGTATTGCAATATATATCTTATATATTTCTTCAGTGTGTAGAAAATAGGTCACCTGATCCTAGTTATAAATGTTCAGGTTTCTACACAGATACCGCAGCGTTTATACATAGCGCTTTTAACTTCGATTTGTATTGGACTAACATAGCAAAACATTTCAGAAAAACATGTATGCCGGATGATGGAATGCATCAAGATCTTGGCGAAGGACTGGAACTCTTTTTTTTTTTTTCTTCTTCTTCTTTTTCCAGAATTCAAGTACTGACCAGCCTACTCCTTAATGGTGTCGTGCGATTGTCGTCATCTTTCCCATGTTAAAATCTGTATTTCTGGTGAATTTGAATGAGTTTGTAATGACAATTAACTGCAGTGATGAGGGGTGGGGGTGGACAAGTGATTCCAGAGTGAAGTGAACTGAACGTTTTTAGAATCCTTTTTTTTTCTTTCTTTTTTACTTATTGCGTGGTCAAAATATTTGTCAAGACAGGCTGACTCATTAACAACACAAATATTTATACAGTCTCGCCTTTGAGTCTTCGAAAAAATTATGATGACTGAAAATGCTATGCGAATACATAACTTGAGCCTAATACATATCGCATTTCATGAACAGATTCGTGTTGTACGGGTAAGTGTGCCTTCTAAAACGTACAATGGCTCCGACTCGCACAAAATTTTGTTTCCACCAACCAGTAATAGGTTTGTTAAAAACTTGTTAGTTTCAATAGAAAATGTTAGTTGAGATTTAATTACTTTTAATTATTATTATCGAGAATTTTTTCAAGGGCCCACTGCGTATAAGATACACCATTTAACAGAGCTACGTGTAGTAGAATCAGAAATGTAAAGCAGTCAAACAACTAGAGAAAGAATGGAAGTTGCTCTCTTATTTCACAGCTGTTATATCTTACTAACTAACTGTCCCGTTTCCTGCTTTATCATATTACCTAACTGTCCCTTTTCCTGCTTTATCTTACTAACTAACTGTCCCGTTTCCTGCTTTATCTTACTAGCTAACTGTCCTGTTTCCTGTTTTGTCTTACTAGCTAACTGTCCAGTTTCCTGCTTTGTCTTACTAGCTAACTGTCCAGTTTCCTGTTTTGTCTAACTAGCTAACTGTCCAGTTTCCTGTTTTGTCTAACTAGCTAACTGTCCAGTTTCCTGTTTTGTCTAACTAGCTAACTGTCCAGTTTCCTGTTATGCCTTACTAGTTAACTGTCCCGTTTCCTGTTTTATTTGGTAAGCTATCTGTCCCGTTTCCTGTATTATCTTACTAGCAGGCTAACTGTCACATTTCCTGCTTTATCATACTAGCTAACCGTCCAGTTTTCTGTTTTGTCTTACTAGCTAACTGTCCCTTTTCCTGCTTTATCTTACTAGCTAACTGTCCAGTTTCCTGTTTTGTCTTACTAGCTAACTGTCCCTTTTCCTGTTTTGTCTTACTAGCTAACTGCCCAGTTTCCTGTTTTGTCTAACTAGCTAAATGTTCAGTTTCCTGTTTTGTATTACTAGCTAACTGTCCAGTTTCCTGTTTTGTATTACTAGCTAACTGTCCCTTTTCCTGCTTTATCATACTAGCTAACTGTTCCTTTTCTTGTTTTATCTTATTAGCTAACTGTCCAGTTTTCTTCTTTATCTTACTAACTGTCCCGTTTCCCGTTTTACTTTACTAGCTAACTCTCCTTTTTCCTGCTTTATCTTACTAGCTAACTGTTCTTTTTCCTGCTTTATCTTACTAGCTAACTGTCCCTTTTCCTGTTTTAAATTACTAG